CAATTGGAAGACAAAAGATAACTTTTTCAAGTTTTATTTCAAAGAAGTTCAAAGAAATGACCTGACCTGTAATACTGATCTCATATCTAATACTTTTGTTCCTATGTGATGTTAGTCTGATTTAGAAGACTCATAGAGATTAGTTTTATTAAGATTTTGTTTTCGTTAAATGGATTTTAAATCCTTTGCTCTTTGCTAGCATTATGTTTTGATTAGAGCGACCACTTTTGTTACCTACTTTTAGGAGAATGTTCTTTCTTTTTACGTTTCCGTTAATAAATACTATATTTTTTCTGGAACTCATGGTTCTTATTATCTACGAAGTGATTTCACAGTACGCTATCTAGTCGTCAGAAACCAAACACTTCTCACAAGGGTCAAGCCGACGGCATAGACCCTAAAATATTCAACGTTTTTCCCCCGAAGGGTAAAAAACGAATTATTTTAGGTCTTGCCTAGGCTTGACCCCCATTAAGTTCTTGACGACTTAATTTCTGAGAAAGTACTGACTCGGAATACAGCCGCTTCGGGTGGCGAGGTCGTTGCGGCGGCGCGGCTGCCTGACGACGGGGGGAGTAAAAAAGGGAGCTTAGTTACGTAAAAGACACTTATGAAAGGGCGGGGATGATTGGGGTAATCTCACAAGGGTCAAGCCTAGGCAAGACCTAAAATAATTCGTTTTTTACCCTTCGGGGGAAAAACGTTGAATATTACGTCGATGAAAGTGAATGGTTTTTATTTTTACTTATTACAAAGCAATGCTTCTTTGGAGACGGTGTACGAGAATCTTTAGTAAACTACAACGTCTTTGAATTGATTTTCCAAATAAACAGGTTCACTCAACGACGGTCTTACAGCAGTGGAAGGGTTTTCTGGTACAAAACATCGAGTAATTTTCATTTTGTTCTCTATACTTTCGTCTGTGTAACCATCCGCAACAGTGGTTGAAGAATAACCACCATGTCCTTTTAACTGGGTAATGTCAGCACCAGAATCTAATAGAAGCTTAAAGTCTTAATTTACGATATTTTGTGTAAAGTTGTAAGCCATCGACCCAGGCAGAACTGTAAATATTAAAGTTCTTGTAGTGGGAATCCTAATACCCAGCACATTGCCTCTAACTTTAATACCTTATACCTTGATCATAGTGTTTGTAGTCATCAGCTTCATTTAGATATTTGTTAATGTCGTTGGATGTCAACGTTTTGGATTTTTTTGGATTATATACCGACCATAAAGCAGAAGTTTTCAGTTTTCCTGACTAAAATATCAGTGTAAATATTCCACAAGTAAGGGGCGTTGGATCGACTAGTGTTGATCGGTAACTGTAACTGGCAATACTCTTGTTTCAGGTCGATGCCGGAAGTGTAGCAGGGTTAACGGAAAATCGCATTTATAAACGGTAACGAGTAAGCATCTTTTACCGTAACTTTGTCGACTTTACGTAAATCGGTACATCAGAAACGCATCTTACCATCTTTCTTTCGAACCATGACAATCGGTGAACTTCACGGACTTTCAGATAAGACTATCTATTCCAAGGAGTACGGCATAACCAAGACCTGGCGCATGAGGGACTAAATGTGAATTTCGATAACTAATATAATTTAATATAACTGGCGAAGATGGAAAAGACAAAACGATTTAAATACGGTTCAAATACCAAATGCAAAAGCTGATGATTTAAATAAGATCAGATCTTTTCCATCATTGATTAATCTTAATCATTCTTTGTGAAACCGAACAAAAGTAAATTCAATGTGTTCAGTTTATTTAGTCAACTTTACTTGAATACCACAGAACCATTAATAACTAACTCATAGCATGTGAATCAAAAAGGGTCCCTCGAAGAACTCTTCAAAATGGTGGCAATGGCATTAATATTCCTGTATTCCATTATCGTTTTGTATAAAAATTCTGTCATCGATTTATTAGTAAGTGATATTCTCTTCATGTCATAATCAATTAGAATGAATAATTGATTTGATTTGTTTCATAGTGATATAGTAATTATCATGCAAGGGCTTAGGAATCAAACAACGGTATTTCCAGTATTTAGTAAACAATGGTTCCTCTCTGCAAATTGTTAATTATAGTTCCAGCCCTTACCTTTGACTATCCAGCCATAGAATTAGGTATAAATTAATGCGTAATACGGAAATACTACAAAAAGGGTTTAAAATTGTAGAACAAAGGAAATTGAAAGTTGAGAATCGTCGAAAGTATTTCATCGCAAGATTAATTTCTGGAGCGAGAAATTAAAAAACGAAAAAATTAAAAGACATCCATTCTCTATATTCAAATAGGTATGTAGCGTAAAGTGTTTGCGTGCATTTCAGTGTGAATATGTTCGTTAAATTTTACATAAAAGTGGAAAAAATCCCTTCTTATTCAGTAATTTCGCTTTACGCACCACAACGTGTATAATTTAACTGTTTCACAAAGGGTTCGTTTAAACACGAATTCCATCTCATTTTAAAATCTCTACAATTTCAATGGAAATCCCTAAATCAATTAAACATGAATTTATAACTCAAAATATAACCCTAGTTCGGTTTAAAACTCTACCTATAGCGAGAAAGTAGGTTACAATACGATTTTAGAAGGTGGTATTTCGATAACGAATTTACGTACTAAAGGCGCCATTCTTGACAAGTTTCTTAGTGTGGTCACGAGAATCGAGATCTATCAAATGGTGTTAACGGCGAAACGCGCTCTCCAAAGTTTCCTATCTTAACGAACACCAGCTTGAGATCTTCGCCGACTATACGATCCCATTGTTCTTTGAGTTATAAATCATTCTTCTATAAATCTCACATTCTCTATTGATCGGTTTATAGCTCTTGATAGGATTTCCAGTGCTCGCGTAAAATGTAATAACTGTGGCCTAAAGACCATTTCAGCAAATATTTGTTGGAAATTGTCAATAACAATACAGTATATCGTAATTTTCGTATATTTCTTTTCTTTCGCCGTTATTGACATAACAGCGCCAAATACTTTTGACGTATAAAAATTAATGTTCCGTGAAAATTACCTTTAGGCAACACTGCCACTGCGTGGTTACAGTATACACACAAAAATGTATTTCTATTCGAAAGCAAGTTGTAATGAAATTTTAATTGAATTATTGCGAGAGTGATAGTGTGTTTTTGTGTAACAAATGGAACGATTTCAGTGGTTCATTTAAATTTTATTGATAAGCTGATAAGCGCATTTCACATTTTCCCCTATTAATGTGGTGTTATTCAGATAAAAACATGAGACAGTTTGCAAAATCTAATTTTATATCAAATTGGTGGAGGGTGTAGCAAATGTGTTTACGGCCCAGTTTCGATAGTTCTATTTGTAAAGCAAATTAAGCGCGTGGCAAAGGGTGTAGATAGGCACATTTTAAATTATAAAGGAAAAGTGAAACTTATATACATATTCTAAACGTCAAGAGCAGGCGTTAACATAACAGATAGCTCTAATTTGGCGGTGCGATAGTAGACTTCCCAAGATTTATGTATTTATCACCTTATTATACAGCGTTATACTCACCTAAGTGAAATGCAAATATGTTATATTGTAACATTTAAAACTCATCAACCAAGGGCCATTTTTAGTTTAGTACCTGACTTGGAGATGCGAAAGCTCTTACTTTTCACACTTTGAATAGTAAATTTTTCCCTACGCTGCCTTACAGTGTAATTCTGATGTGTTGAGAATCTATCTGTAAACGCCTTTTTGTAGAATTGCCCAGCAAACACACTTTACGTTTAAAAATGGTTTTAAAGCGCCTTGAAAGGATAAATACGGTATTGGTAGTATGGTATACGTTTTTGTGTAGACCGATTTTATACCTACGTTTAAAATACGATTTTTATTCATTTATGTAAACCATAGAGGTCACTTTCTACGTTGATAATACGTATATAGATAACCGTTTTTAGCATTCGTTTTATAAACGTATACAGGGTGTTACACGACCGCATGTAAAAAAAAATTGGGTGATAGAGGGGATCAAGCACTTTTTCCAAATAAACCGAGGGTCCAACGTGTTTCGTTTGGGAGCCACCCCCAAAGAAGTGGTGAAATTTGGATTTCTTCTTTAGTTTTTTTCTCAGCAATCATATGGGTTACAAAGATGGGTGACATCTCTTTGAATAGGTTTTCGAGTATGCTCTATCCGATTTTGAAAAAAATGTTTCAAAATTCTTACTACGAAAGGGCGCACCCTTACTTGGGGGCGCGAAAAAAAATTCTGATTTTGATGAAATTTGGTATCTGAAGGTTTTTGAACATGAAAATGACGAATCTGGAATTAGTTTTTGAAAATTCGCAGAAAAAAGTTCCACTGCAATTATACTCATTTAGAGATTGGACCTTCCGTACTAGCGAGTGATCTAATTTCGCATATAGATAATTGAAAATGTTGAAAATAACAAAAAATAACTATTTAAGTCGATATTATGATTAAATGATCACAAAAAATTCGATATGTCGATCATGGTATTCAAGTCTGCAAACTCGATTCCAAAAATTCCGTGGCTGCGGGTGATGGGAAAATGCTTTTTAAGTAAAATTCTATTACAATCAATAAGCATTATTGCAAGTATCGTAATATCGACTTAAATCATTATGTTTTTGTTATTTGCGATGTATTACAATTGTTATTTGTCAATTTTGATTAATAAATTGCTTATTTATTTTGTCCATTTATTTGTAATTCTATAGTACGTGTACACTGCAAGACTAAGTTTATTTGTGTGGTAGTAGTTGTAAAAGTTTATATGAACCTTATCTTCGGTCTGCGATAATAACTGTTATCGCTACGTACGCTAATTAAACTTCGAGATAACGACGTCTTATCTGGGTGTAGAAAACACACCTCCAGTTTAATCAAAGACGCGCATTATTTTGTAAAGGAAGGCGGAATTGAGTTTTTTTGACATTGAAGCGCAGCTGTATTTGAGCGCGCTTATTGCAAAATATGAGTAGTTAGTTTGGCTGGCATCGAAGCTGTTTGCAAAATAGTCAGTGTTGCCAGTTATCACGTTTTAAGCTGAAGCGTATTTCCCATTTACGAAAAAGTTTAATCGGACTGCTGTGGTTATCGGGTGTTCGTCGCCTTCAGAGAAGGTCTTCAATTTATCGGTTAAAGGGAAGTTGTCCACCATCACAAGGCCAATTTTACATCAGCAATTACAACGTGGTCAGTGTCGTTTAAATCGAAATTCAAGTGCAATTGAAGAAGTTTTTTGAAAATCTATCTCTTGTTGCGTGGTATGTGTTATTTTGGCCCTGATTCCTTACTTTTCTTTCAGCTTGATTATTTTATGTCGAATAAATTTGTTTCATCTGTAAATCGTTGATTTTGTTACTGATAGAGCCCAAATTACGACTTAGAGAGTGTTCATGTTAAATTTTATACCCCAAATTACATCAAGTGTTAATTACAAAATTGTTAATTAATTCTTTGGAATTTTGGAGGCGAACACGGCTAGGTACTGAATCTTTTTAATTAATAACAGTTAATCATAATTTTCGTCGTGGCGGAAGCTGGAAGTGCTCTACCAAAATTATAATTATATCTTTTAAAGGCTTTATTACTACTTGAGTTTATTTGATCGAGCTGGAGAGGTATTTTATGAATGGCTTAGTGACCGTCAATATACAATACTATTACTATTTTTTCCGATAACATTAACTAGTAAAGATCATAGTGTAATTTTCATTATTAAAATTACTATACTGTTTCATTATAAATTGGCTAAAAAGTTTAATTTAAACAACGTCTAACGTGCTGCTAACAACGATTAATTTCGAGAGATTTATAACCTACTATGTTCTTATTTTATTTAAGAATGTAGCGAGTTTAAACTTAAAATTAAGGCGTGCTTAATTACATAATTTATGTTTGATTAAATTGCCGAAACTAGAATTCTTACTCAAGAATTTAAATTAAAGTTCGTTTCAACAAATCTTTGTTAAATGCCTCCTTCCTAATGATTGACGTAGACGAAACCCATTGTCTCGCTAAGATTCTTACACATTTGTTCTAGGTTTCAATTCGCTTGGCATATGATCGGTCGGGCTCCAATTTAGTGTGTCTCTAACATAAATTGTATCGCGTGAACGTACTAATTACTTTTCCTTATGTCAGAGCGAAGCGTTATTGAAGTTTTAAAAGCTAACTACAAAAGTTTAAGTGAATAAAGCGAAGATAACGTGCCGCCGAATGACACCGCCACGAGGAAGTTGTTATTCGCAATTCAATTTGAAAACTGTAAAGCTAGGTATCCTTAATTTACTTTGCTATCAGCCGTAGTCAAACATAAGATTTATTCCATCTGAGATCCTAAAGCGTTTCTCTTTGCTATTTGTGCTCTACGTTCGGGTTTTCCATTAGGTATGTACCTTCGAGGTACCATCGAAAGGAAGTCATAAAGATGTTACGACTTGTTACCGAAAAACTACATTCTTAAAACGAAATTTTCAATTCTCTTTTACTGAGAAGAGGTTGGGTTCGACAAGCTTCTAGATATAGTGTTCGACTCTATCCTCTGAAATGTAGTTACGAAAAAAGACATCAGACACTGTTCGACTTTTCCTTATACTTTAACGTTGACGTTATTTTAATTCTTTAGGATTGGTAAATACGTTTACAATTCTCCATCACAATGAAAAATTCAATTTGTTTTTGTAAATATTAATAGTACAACTTATTCCACTATACGTTCAATTTCAAGTTAATCCTTTTCGCAATTTTTTGGTATGTTAAGATTTGCTTAACTGTAACAATAAAGGGCGAATAATCAACGGAGGGTTGACCAACGACGGCCGTTTACGCAGTAGGGCGATTTAGGGTATAGTAGGTCTAAATGCATAAGTTTGAAACGGAACGGTATACCGATTACTAAGACTATTATTACCAATTTTGACATTTCAGGGATTTCCGCAGACTTGCTCAATGCTCAAGCCTCATACATAAACACCAAGGAGAAGTCTAAAGTTAGACTTTTCGAGTATGTGGGACCGTGGTGAGAATCTTGTGAAGTTCAAACCATGGTGGTGAAGAACAAGTATAATATTTTATAAGGCAACTCTTACCTTGAATAAAGTTAGATGTTGACGCCAAGAAGTGAGCTCAGTTCTCGCATCCACACCTGAAAACAATCCAAAGTAAATCCTCCCAAACCGAAGGGCTCGATATATACAACTAGTGGTTAATGCTTGAAGGTCCTCTCACTACTCGTAATCCGCTTCTATACCAGGTACGGACATAAGTCCCTTCAGAAGGAAGTGGTGGTCTGGTGGTCTCGAACAACATTCGCGTCAAACTCGATCATGCATCGGTAGGGATTACGATAATTTACTGACCAAGTTACGTTAGCAACTACAACGAAAATTTATCACTCTAAGATGTATTTAACGATACAGTTTATTTTCGTAATATTTCACCGATTGGGTCGTAGTACATACCCATACCTTCAACTTTTGGTACACCGATAAAAGATCCCTTTAAGTTATAATACATCCTTAGCCTAGATCTAGCCTAGAAAATTTTATACGTAAACCCGAAGATGTAAGTGAGAAAAGCTAAAAATTTTTAAGCTTTTTCAGAATGAGGACCTGAATAAATAGTGAAAATGAATGATATAATAGAATAGAATGAATAAATAGAATAAATAGTGAACATTTATGAAGGTAAACTCCTTACTTCATGTTCTGTAGCCACCGGCTACTTTGTAATAAACACGAATGGAATACTAGAAAGGGACCACCATACTCGCCCTTATAGCCGAGTAACTCTTTTGATTGTTGAATTGAAATCTCTTTTCCCGAAATCAATTTGCACCCATTTCGCTGGTAACGTGGCAAAATTCATTTCCCCAAATAACAGGAACGATATGCTGCGGCACATTGGTCCTACATTTCAACCGAATATTGGAAATAAAGACAGAAAATTAAGTTCTCTGGTCGAGTTAAATGCCGTGTTCCATATGAAAATGGCGAGAGAATCCCTGCTATTGTTACTAATCTTTAGTGAAAATGCACTGAAATTGATGATAAGTTCTTCATATGAATGCCGTATTCCTCGTTTTCATATATGAAATATAACATCATAACGAACGATCTTCATTGAACGTCTCTCATTAGATAGACAAAATTTAACGCATCGCCGCTACATTACTAACAACGATTAGCAATCGGACTCTGAAAGAGCAAATGAGATTTTGAATCCCTTGTAGTTTCAGGAAAGTGTACAGATTTGTATAGGCTTTGTCTTCCGAACGCCTTACAAAGCTAGTCTTTATTTGCATTCGTTAACTGCGTCACTCCTCAAATTTTTTTAGTACTGTTGTTTCATTTAGCTTATCTTTTACAAACTAATTCGAGTTGAAATACATTGAGAACTTCGGTTCGTAGTTTTATAGAATTGTGTTTCAGTAATCTATACAGACGAAAGAACCGCGAGAGCATTACAATGTAAAGTTAACAATCATGACGATTTGAAGGGTAGATTATACATTGTATTGTTATAATTGTATTTGGAGAACAGAATAGACGATAAATTTTAGAGTTGTATTCATTGAAATGGTATTGATGGGATAATGAAAATAATGTTCAAACATCGCTAGCAATAATAAACGTATTCGCCTTTGGAGAAACTCCCTTCAAACACAAAGGTAAAAGAGCATTAATATAAACTTCGCTGCTATGATGAGAACACATAACCACTAAAATTTCGTTGTAATTCCAATAAGACACAATTGATACGCTTCTATATTAAGAACTTAAATTTAACTTCTCCAAAACTGAAATTTAAATTAAACCGTAACACATTAAAACGGCGTAATTATGTTTTATTCTTTTGTTCATATTTACTTCCCTATTGCCAAAAGATTCCTCGTTACATTATTATTATAATGATTAAATGTTTCTTTTACTTTAAACCTTACGCATCATTGTCAGGTTCTATAATTACAATTTAACGCTGCGTGTCTACTATCATCATGAAGATACTTGACTAAAGACATTTTAGTTCATAAAATGGGCCGGTGAAATATATTAAAGTGTTTCGTGACGATAGATGCCTGCAGTGTTATCAGTAATTTTTGCACGAACTATTTTATTCACTACCTTACGCTAACTAAAGTGAGAAATATTCTAAAATGTATTGTCTCCATAAACGTTGTCACGGGAAAATAATTACACAAAATGCACTTCTAGTAAAATAAATTTCCTGTTCCTTCCCTACCGTTTAATCCTCTCCGGAGTAGGTATGTAAAATGCTTTTTTTGTTTGGGAATTTGATTGAGTCGTTAAGAAGCTTATTACGCTAAATAAGGAATTATGTTGAGAAAATAAGAAGTAATTTTAATGACATTGTAAACTGGGTGCATTATTTTAACATCATTACAAGTTTTGAACGGTGATTAAAAACAACTGTAAGTTCACAATTCATTATATTCAACTACAATAGAAATTATCTTTGTATAGGTTTGTTTGGGGTACCTTCGCTTCCTTATGACAGGCTAACACGCAAATGTAGATTAAAAGAAGGTAAGTTAGTGTATTCTCCGAAAGTTTATTTACATTCATTTCAACCTTTGTTCTCAAAAGGTGGCAACGGTCAACTGTAGTGACAGTTTCCACGATCTCTAATGATCCCATGCTGCAGTTATCGCCAAAGAATACATTTGCTTTTTGAACTAATCGGAAAATTAATATTGAACCTAAACCATACATAGTAGGTATTAACGGATTTCGTGAAAAATGTCAAAAATTGCTGCAGATGGAAAACTGGAATAATATCTAGATATTTACATAAGAGTCAGAAAAATGGCACATTACTGGCGAGGAAATATTGTGCCTCGCATTTTTGCAAGTTTTTACTTTATTGCTATTTACTCCTAACACTTTATTAATGGCCTCGTTTCATTCCATTCTTTCATTACTGAATTTCTCTAACACATAAATTTAAAAATTAAATTTCCTATGATCACGTCACTCTTGATTATCTTCTTTATTTTTTACTTTTCCGCAGTTATAGCTATTACCCCAACTCGTGTGTCCAATTTCCGGTAAAATCCTTAGTGGCTGTCAATTGCTTTTTCGCTTAAAATATGCACATTTTTTAATCTTATCTTTTTTTCAATTTTTTATATATAAATATATAATAAAGATGCAATCAAAACGGCTACGGCTTTACGCCAGAGTGGCGATACTCGATCTGCTGCTAATTTCCGTTCCAGTAGCAATTCCCACTTTTTTCAAAAAAATTTGAATGCACTATGTTTAACAATATTGTAGCGAATGCTCCAGAAATCCCGATAAACATCGAGGTGCCATGAAAGATTAGTCATCGGGGATAAAGAACGAAGACGCAATCGCTCAGGGAAATTTGACGTGTTTTGTTCTAGAACATTCGAGAAGACTCGGGAGCATTTCAAGACTGTTATAAATTTATTGTTTATTAATTAATAAATAAATAAAGCAAGTAATTAAATTTATGTTACACTAGTGTCAGGTGTGGGGTTGCTTTTAAGTGAACAATTAGTGAAAGTTTATGTCAGCTGTGACCAGATTTACGTGTGGAAAAATAGAACCTTCAATTAATGCAAGAAATGTAAGCTGGTCAATTTGAAATGAAACTTGGTCAATAGGACATGGAAGTTAAAATATAAGTCAAAATCAAAGTGGGTCACACAAGAAATAAGAGGTATGATTCAAGAGTGGAGATACAGTGTCCAAGATAAAATCGAGGATAAAATTTATACTGTAAAAAACGAAATGAAAGCTAAATATGATGAACTACGAAGGGAATTTATGGTATTGACTGAAGATCGCGAAAAAAGTGATTTGTCATCTGTGATAACACAAGATTTGCTTGCCGTTCTACAATCGTCCCACATTGACGATATTAGCTAGGATAGTATCATCAATAGGGAATGCAATACCGGGATCGCGGGATCCCGAAATACCGGGATCCCGCAGCATTTTTGCGAGATTAATTCCGTACATAAAAGGAGCGGGATCCCGCGGGATTTGCGGGACTGAGCAATTTGTCGACCAAGGGGACGAGTCTGTTTACTTTGTTAATGAAATGAAATTATTTTTAAGATAATTGTTAAACTTTTTTCGTTAAAAATGTACTATGCTTTTTGAGGCACTTTAGAAGTTTACTTTTTGTGCTTTACAGGTGAGGTTTTTTTTTGGTTTTAAGCCTGGTTTTAAGTTAGGCTGAAGGTACTTCTTTGTGAAATATTGTGATAATTACCGATTTATTTTAATACAGAAGTTAACCGCACAAAATTGCTTATTTGGCAATTTATTTAAAATTTTGCGGGATCCCGCAAATACCGGGATCCCGCGGGATTAACATCTAACGATCCCGGAAATACCGGGATTGAGATTTTGCTGCGGGATTGCATTCCCTAATCATCAACTACGCTTTCAAAGGAACAATTGAAGACATTCTGCAGTCTGAACATGCATAAATTATCTGGGTACTCAATTTTCCTCATTTTTAACTTATTTAGAGTCAACGTTTGAATTTGATTACCTTGAACGTAGACCGAGATTCGGTGTAGTTATTTGGGAACAAATTTAAAATCACAAGTTATTTAGAATATAAAGGACCATGAAATAAGCTTTCCTATTTCATGCAAAAGAGGTTGAATTATTTCCCTCATGAACTTAAAATTTAGAATTTCTAAGTAAACCTGCGGCTTTGTTAATTAAATAAACTCTTCCTTTTCCAACGGCTAGCTCAATATATCACAACTTTAAGTCTTTTAGGTGAATTTTTATTGCTAATCTCTCCTACAATCTTCCAAAATTCCTTGACTTCTATCACGAAAGAAAAATACCGAATGGCCATTCAATCTTCAATTGAAAATCAATTCGAAATGTTAAATGAATGCTATGTACACTTTCCTTTGTACATTAATTTTTGACAAATAAGTATTTCTTGTTTAGGATCTTTTAATGTAATTGGGTCATTTACTTATGAATTAGAAATAAATTTAAATTGTCTAATTTGAACAATACTTATACATATTGATGTGTAAACTGCAGGAAGGTCTAGTTTCTCTAGGTTGAAATAATGCCGAAGATGAGAGCGGCCCCTAGTGTGCGGCCTCCCGTTCGCCACCGCTACCGCTACCGCCACCGCGTCCGCTACCGCGACCGCGACCGCGTAGGTTTGCGTATACCTTAAACGTAATCAAACATCTGCAGGACTATATATTTATGAAATGTGTGTATTTATGTTTCAACGTAAAAGCTTATTTACCGTGAATTATGACTCTTTGTATAGTTATCCTTCTCATTCCTCCTAGGTTGATAACTACCGAAAAATTATGTTACAACGCCTGCATCAATTTCTATAATGCATTTCCTTCAACAAGCAAAAGATAAACAATTTAAAATTTAAATAATAGAGTACACAAAATTGTTGAAATACTTCTCTGACATTTTGTGGTGTTATTTGTTTACGAAATATCTTTTCGACAAAAATCGGCATACGTAAATAGAATAGAAGATACCGACCGTCAGGCTTTGATACTCGTATTATACAGATATTTTAGTTTGTGATATGCAGAGTAAGTATACTCTGGTATTACTAATCGGCGAGTCGTCCCATAATTTCTGTTATTACACGCAATAACGTTATCATAACAAATTTATAGCCATTGCAGGCAGTTGGTTTCTTAAATTTCAAATAATACATTTTTCTTCGAAAGCCCCGATTATAAATAATCCTTCTATAAATTTGTGTAATAAATTGCCGGGTTATATTTGTAATATTTATAGCTACAAAATTTGAGTTAACGTGAAATTGATCACGCTTATTTGAAATATTGGGAATTTAATAATGAAATTAATATTTTGTTTAATAACGCCATTCATCGTGAATCGCAGTGGCTGCCAGTTACGTTTAAACGAAACGCTTTTCAACCAGCTTCCATTATTCACCTATTAATTAAACCAAACTAATGAAAGTCATTAGCAAATATAACCGTTAAACTCACGATCTTTCAGAATATATGATTAGGAATTAGCCGTGATTACCAAAAACAGTGCTCTGCCTTTTCTACTTCCCCCTCAATAGCAGGAGTAGGATTCCGGGTAAGAATTGATCCACTGTATAACTAAATTATGAAGTTCGCCTCGTTGCACCTCGGGACTTTACTTCCGCTGGCAATCAGTAAAACCGGATGCTTGCCCGGCATTCACGATAAATTTATAATCACGTAAAATACCTAGATGCGTATTATCGGCGTTCGTTTCAACATCCATTATTTTGCTATAGATACGGGAACTCATGCACGACGAATTATCGTTTGACTGCAGAGGCGTGTACATAGATACATTTAAATGATCTATTAGTCTACATACAGATAGGGTTAAAGGCGTCGTCAATAATACCATTCAACCATTCCTATTATCTGATCGGCTCGTCTACCGATAATGGGATGTATTTACAGCAATAAACAGGTACCATTAGTCAAAGCGCCTACATATATGAAATTAATGTGTATTTCCCCAATTGCAACTTTAATGCCTTTTTTTTAATATTAATAAATTATTTTTTTCTGTTTCAGGACTGAATGAGCACTAGGAGGGTGAGTTATGCTTTTAATAGTGTAAGTACTGTGCGGTGTTATGAAAGCAAGGTATATCACATCGCTGTTGAAACCCTATAATGAACCACATAGGTAGTAGATACATTATGCGAATAATAGTCCGAGAAGGACGAGTATGGTTGAATGTCGTGCAACCCCACTGAGGTGCACTACTAATCCACGTACGTCGTGGATGGGAACTTTGTTAAAAGGCGCATTATGAATTGGCTTTTTAAAAAGTAATGAAAAGCTTCTTACATAAATCCGCATTAGAGAAGCTTATTAAATCTTTAGTCATATCCAAATAACACAAAAGTATTTTAGCAACACATAAATCAGCATCGACAAAGAAAGGTAAGACCAGGAAGAGGTTGTAGTCGATTTATGCCCGAAGTTTTAATTCTTTGTTCATTTTTAATTTGAATGCACCCCTCAGAACTTGAAATATTTGCAACTTCTATAATGCCGTTTCAACTCTTTCTCCAGTGGCCAAATCCATCAAAACTGCAAGCTAAGGTATTCCAAGGGACATCACTTAATAGAGTCCTTGTGAAAGCAAGAACAAAAGAAGCATCACACGTATGGATATAATTTTGGTTTAAGTGGTCCCAACTCTCTTGAAAAATCTCTTAATTCTACTATACTCTACTATGTGGAAATCCAAAATCTGACGTGTTAATGCAAAACGATAAGAATTTAAGGATTTTTTTTATTATATAAAAAAACCAAAAAATTTGAAACTTCGGGTATAGATGCTAAAAATACATTAGTTTGGTTTTCCTTACAAAAATTCTACAGTAATCTTAATCCTACTTTATATTGCTTAAGAGTGGGTCTTGTGATAGATGCCAAACAGATGTCAAATGTTGAACTTGGAACATTACCTATTTGCAGTGCTTTCCTGATAAGACACCTACCACCAGGGAAAGATGCTTCCATAACGGGTACGGTGTCAACCTGTCAATAGAAAGAAGTAAATCACTAGAAGGTCTAAGAATTAAAAACTGTTTTAATAAACCAATACAACGAAATACCGGGTGATCGAAAAAAACTGCAGACAATTTAAATTTGGCGCTTTAAATTTTTAGTGTTTTTTACTTAAGGAATTGGCAAACATGTTTAGAAGTTGGTTTATTTATGCATTAATTGCCATCCATTGGCGTAGTGTTTTATGTGAATTTTATTTTCTAATCTTCGTACTGTGATCCAAGCGTTTCAAAGCAAACAGCTCTTTTTAAAAAGGTCTTCGCAACGTGCATCATTTCGTAAAGGTACGTAAATTAAGAGAACATACTTTATAAGGATCATGTAACCTTACTTTTTAGGCATAAAGGCTTTAAAGGGGATGTCTTTTGATGCACAATTGAAAGGCGTACACGTACATGTTTAAAAGATGCTCATATTCGACTCAGTTATGCTTACTGCAATTCAACGATAAATGTGCTACTTACCATTATGTCGAAGGTGTAAAAAAACGTAGCCTCAAGAAATGGTTTCCGAAAATTCTCTAATGAAGTTGGTGGGTATAACAATGTGAACGATAACATCCCTATTTGTTATTTTTACAGACTTATCGAATAATATGTGGCACAATGTTTTCATCCAGTGTTGATGACGTTAATTTATGAGAAGACGTGGATACGTCTTATTGTATGTAGGCAAATAAAATGAACCTTACGGTGATGGTTTAATGAGCATGACTATTGCTCGGGAAACGTTGGAATAGATATTTGAATACATGAACCCGAGCGTTCAACTAAGCTTGATAAATTAATTTTTTTTAATTAATTAATTGTGATTATTGTTTAGTGATCCATTAAATTGATCCACCACTGCTTTTAAATAAATGACATTTGGTATGTTACCAACTTTATAAATGTTTTGTGGGAAATTCAAACTGTCCGCACTACTTTCCGATCACCCGGTATTGAACTATGAACTAAGGTAGCTATTGCGATCACCGTCAAAATTTCATCAAATGTCGACGTTTTACATCATTTTAAGCAATTTTCAAATAATAAACATTTTTATGTACGACTGCTTGATAATGCGGTGATTACAGTCGCAATTAGTGGCCATAATTTGCAATATTATCATTATGGCCTAGTCCATAATGATAAAGTAAAACGGCGCGACAGTCTGTCAATGTGACAGTCGTACTTAGGTGTCAATCCGAGGCCTACGATACTTACAGGCCGGAGCCTTAGACCATATAGTACATGGACTGCTAATTGTAACTAAAATATAGTCAAGGACATCGCCTGGGTATGTGAGTTTCAGGGTAAACGAGTCTGTCCGAAGTTGTCCGATTAGGCACGATTTGAGATTGTCAACCTATAAATTTACAAACGTCAATAAATTAATCGCCTAGATATCCCAAAAAAAGCAAACTTATTCTTATTTGTGGACGTATAGAAGATAATCAAGAGTATTTAAAGCTTCCCGTACTACGCGGTTACTATAAAGTTGATCTTTAAGCGATCCTAGTGGTGTTTACACGACTTTAGTTTACCCTGAGATTCACATACCCACGACTACAGTGCCCTCTATCCGTGACCATCCATTTTGTATTGAAAGCATAGGGCGAATAGCAGTCCATGTACTATATGGTCTAAGGCCGGAGCGCTCGAAAAAGTCACGTGACGTTAGGAGTCATATTTTTTTTTTTAATATATATTTTTATTAGCAATCAGAATTGACATTCTATGGGCTAATATGATAACATGGGACCTTAAAGCTAGACAGTCCTGGATGGCGGGATGGGAACTCTTCCAGCGAGGAGTTCACCTACTTCTTATTTGAGATCAATTGGCCAACGTCGTTGTAGTCTCCTGGAGTCGTGTTGTAGTAAAAGTGGTTGTGTTAGTGGGTTGGCATGTGCTTCTAGCCGGGTATGATGACTTGCACTACGCTCTTGTATGATAGTCGAAACGAAAGGGATAAAGAGATCGTCGTGTAACATTTTGTTGGTTACGTACCAAGGTGCGTCAGTAATAGCTCGAAGAATTTTGGATTGAGAGCGTTGAATAATTGCAGTATTTGATTTGCTGGCACATCCCCATAACTCTATACCATAAGTCCAAATACGTCTTATTATTGTCTTGTAAACCAAGATTTTGTTTTCTAGGGACAATCGGGATATCCTTCCTAACAACCAGTTTAGATCATTGAGTCGTAGGTCGATTTGTTTTTTCTTTTTTAAGATGTGTATCTTCCAGGTAAGTTTTTCGTCGAGGTGTAGACCTAGGTAACGTGCTGATGGAGATACAGGTATAATTGAATTGTTGACAGTAACTGGTGGACAGCGGCCCTTTTTAAGTGTAAACGTTACCTGAGTTGACTTACTTTCATTAATTTTGATGTTCCATTTGTTAGTCCAATCTTGTATAAGGTTTAGCTGACTTTGCACATAAGAAGATGCTATTGTTGGATCTTCATGACTTGCAAGAATGATTGTGTCATCCGCGAAAGTACCGATTGTAGTATTGGGTGTAGTAGGTATATCAGATGTGTGTAGTAGATAAAGCAAAGGGCCCACCACAGTACACACTGCCCTGCGGTACCCCAGCCTGGATTGGATAAGTGTTCGAGTATTCTCCATTTACTTTAGTCCGGAATTGTCGATCAGTCAAGTAAGATTTAAGGAGTAGAAAGTAGGATGGGAGGATTTGCTTAACTTTGTAGAGAAGACCAGTGTGCCACACCTTATCAAACGCCTGGCTTATATCAAGAAGTACAGATGTGCAATATTTTTTGTTTTCCAGGGATGTGTTTATTGTTTGTACGACGCGATGGCACTGTTGAACTGTCGAATGAGATTGTCGAAATCCAAACTGATGATCTGGGATAACATTTAGGAGGGGACTAATTCGATGGAGTATGAGTTTTTCTAGGAGCTTGGAGATAGTAGATAACAGACTTATTGGTCTGTAGGAGGAGACTTGATGTGGATTTTTACCAGGTTTGGCTATTAGAATTACTTCAGCAGCATTAAGCTGAAGGGGCCAATAGTGCAAACGGAGGATTCCATTAAATATATATGTTAGGAGTACAATTCCTTTTCTAGGGATTTCTTTTAGCATTTTGGGTGTGATGTGATCAGGCCCAGGTGATTTTCTGGTATTTAGAAGAGCGATTGCTTTTTTTATTTCGTGGGGAGTTATTAGTTTTATGTGACCGGTATTTTCCACAAGACTTTGTAAATTGGCAATCATTTCTTGTGTTGGTACAGCATCTTCAAGGCTAAATACTTCAGCCAGGTGTTGTGCAAACAGATCGGCCTTGTCCTTACTACTTCTAGCCCAGTCACCAGGAATGGGGGTATCTTTTCGGATTGGATAGTTTCTTTGTATTGGTTTTGTGGAAGCTTTTATAGGTTTCCATATTGAATTGTCATAACGGTTAAGATTAGCGATATAATCTTGGAATGACTTGTTTTGCGTTTCTTTTATTTTAGCTTTGAGTTTGTTGTTCAGTTGATTGAATGTAGTTTTGTCTGCTGGTGAATGATACCGATGCCATCTTGCTCTGGCTTTCCTTTTCTCTCTAATCAGTTTTTTGATTTCGAATGAAATGTTGAGAGATCTTCCTTGGGTTTTCAATTTTGGTGTAGCATGACTTGCTGCTTCTTGAAGTAGTGAAATTAGCGTATTTGTAGCTTCTTCTAGCTCTGGAGGATTCTTGAGTGACACTTTTAGGTTTACAGTTGCATTAATTTTGTTTTTATAGGCTTCCCAGTCGGTTCTTGAGTTGTGCAGTCTGGGTATTTTTTTAACATTTATTACCGTTGTGGCAATTGTTGCGATTACAGGCGTGTGATCCGATGACAGGTCGTAATTCGATTCTATATCCATATATGAGCTGGAAATTTGTGACAAAGAAATCCAACATAATATCTGGTATTTTCTTAGGATCTGACGGCCAGTAGGTTGGGGTGCCGGTGGATAGGAATGAATACTTTTTCTCTTGTAGTGCTTTGGACATTTCTCTTCCCTTTGTAG